TACAAAAAGACGTACATTAACAGAAAATAACAATCATGAAATTTATAAGTTAGATTGTTTTATTCTGTTTAAAAGCATATGCTGTTTTTTTTTTTTACTATAGGCTATACATTTCTCTGAAATCTGCAGAAAACAACTTAAACCAACAAATCTGCTCTGAACCTGTTTTGGCTTACTCACATTTTCCTTTATTAGTTTGGGGAACTGACGTCAATGTAAACACCACTGTTGTTGAAGTCAGGACACATAAGGCTTCTGTTAGTGCCTCCTCTGTCTTGCAGTTACAATAGAGTGCACATCTCTTTTTAGGATTTTTTTTCTGTGGTGTTAAAATAGGGAATATCCTGTGTGCTCTTGAATAAAATCCCATATATATTAAAATATGGACGGAATAGAAATATGTTTTTAGACCTGTCGTAGAAAAGAAGGATTCAACTATGCAAACCAGTTAAATCAAGGAAATCGATGATCAATTTATTTAGTCGGCACTATACTATCTTTCTTTGCAAAGAAATGATAAGACAAATCATATCCTTCACAAGTGAAGTTTTTCCCTGATTAAGCAAATGTTTCTATCACTAACTTAAACCCTGCAGAAAGACTCTGAAAGTCTCCAAATGCAGTTAATCACAACAAATACAGACAGTTGAGGAAAATAATAAAATGTTATGAATAAACCCTGAGAGTCTAACTTATGAGAATGATTATTTTCAATCCCAAACACTACCTAATATGACAAACAATGACTCCTCTCTCTCAGCCTCCCTGTTGCCTTGCAGCTATAAGGCGTGAGTGAATACTGTTTTAAAGTAGTAAATGCAGAATCAGCACTCATAAATCAATATATGTAAGGGGAAAACATTGAAAATTGAATTTTCCAACCACAAAATGGGAAACTTGAGTTTTCAAGGCAAAATCATTTTTTTCATCGTGCAGTGTGGATTCACAGTTAAGTGGTTGGGCGAAACAAATACATGCACTGCAGAAACAATCTAGAAATAAGTAAATATTTCTTAAATTAAGTGTATTTACCTTTAATTTGAGTAGGTAAGTAAGAGTATTTGCCAATGGAATGAGTATTTCTACTCTTAAAATAAGATAATTTGATAAATTCACTAGAAATAAGAAAATGCAATTGTTTTTTTCTTATTTTAAATGTAAATTGTCTTGTTCCATTGGCAAAGTGTCTCATTTACCTCCTCGATTCAAGAAAAAATGCACTGATTTTAGGAAAAATTGACTTATTAAGATTGAAATTTTTTGCAGTGTGGCACGTAGATGACATGTTGAATCCATAATGGCCATCTCTATAATACTTTACAAGTATGTCCTCAGTGGGTTTGGCACCAAACTAACGCTAATAGATGCGGTTGACTGCTGGACTGACTTCTAAGAAGACTGACAGTAACTGATTACTGTTGTAAAGAAGCTTGTCTAATTTTGGCAAACAAACAAAAAAAAAAATACGTTCTCTGCTGAAAGGCCAGACTGGTTGCTAAGTTACACTACCCTGTTTTTACAATAACTCCAAAATGTACCATTCAATTAAATTACCTTAACTGTCCAGAAAAAAGCCTTCAATCGCTGTCTCTATTTTTTAAGTCAGGGTTGCCCTGTTATAGCATTGTGAAAATGCCCCTTTCAAGAACACACCTCGCTCTTCTAGCTAGTCCAACTTCACGAGTCGTTTTCCACAATTGTGGTCATACAAACAAAACAAGCCGGTAAGGTACCGAACAGGAGACGCATAGTGTAGAGTGGATGTAGATTTGACCAAACAGAGGCCTCCTGTCTGCGGCACTGTCTGCAGTCACCTACAATTTCAGGGAGGTGCAGCAGGGTGTCTGCAGAAGGGGCAGGGACGTCTTTGCGTTCACCACAAAATCTACGCATACGACCTAATTTCGAAGTATAAATCAGCCTTAAGAACCAAAAAGCATGTTAAATTTCCCTCTGTAGAGCCAGGATGCATGTTAAATTGACCCCCCAGGAGAGATAATGTGTGCTAAAGTGCCCCCTTGGGACCAGAATCTGTGATAAACTATCCTCTAAGGAGCAGCCAACAATTGTACTAAAGTGTGCTAAAAAATGTTTCTAAGGAGCCAAAACTCATGTTAAATTTCACGAGAGCCTCAACACATGCTAAAGTGCCCTGTCAGGAGCCAAAAAATGTGTGTTAAATTGCCCTCTCTGGAGCTAAAAACACAAGCTAAAGTGCCCTCTCTGTACCTAAAACATGTGCGAGAGTGCCCTCCTTTGAACCAAACCACCTGCTAAAGTGCCCTCTAGGGAGCCGGAAAGCATGTTAAATTGTACTCTCGGAATCCAAATCTTGTTGTCTTGTGTGCCCTTTCCACCCCCGCTTCTCAATAAGTCTGTGCACGGCACTGGTTAGAATCCTTTAAAAACAGGTTGTCTTCATATACAGGGAAAATGCTCAGAGCAGACAATATGGTCCCTATTCTGCTACCGTGATCAAAGATGGCTGTGCAAAATGGCATCCTCTCTTGGTTGCATCGCCACCAAAGAATTAGAACAACTCCTATTAAACTATCAAAAATCTTTTCTTTTAAGTGATTGTTGTTTGACTTTGGCAGAAGGCAGAGAATATATATATATATAAGAGCAATACTAGATTTTTATTTACTTTTTTACTAATTAAATTACGCACAGTCCCATGTTAGAAAATGTGGGTCCATCTAGCAGTGTCTGTGATTTATCATTTTCTTATATATTTTTAGGGCCTCCTCTTGCTAACTCCAAAACTATCTGAAATAAGGTTTTTGATCCCTTGATGAATCAGCTTTATGCTCTTTTTGCAGCCAATTGGTGCAATCAGGATGATTCCTGATTTATTCTCCCAGGGATTCCCATCCCCNTTTTTGCAGCCAATTGGTGCAATCAGGATGATTCCTGATTTATTCTCCCAGGGATTCCCATCCCCTGTCAATCATTTACATTCATTTTTGTCAAGTCCTTGTGTCGAAATAATATTCTTGACAGCTTTATACACTCAAAGAATGGATTTCTTCAAAAAACACCCAATCTGGTTGGTTAAACCAATTTTGTTTAGAATAACCAATATATTGCTCAGAAATTGAGCAATATATTAGTAGTTTTGGATCAACCAATTTAATTGGTAAAAAAAAAAAAACACCAATAAAAATAGTAAATGGTGGTTTAATGACCTGACTGTTTGTCCGTAGTTAAGATTAGTGTGTAATAGACGGACATAGATAACAATTACTGTGATGTTTACATGTACAGCACAGGAATCTCTGTAATATTAAAACCTTTGTTGTAATATTAGTATCAACTGTAAGTAAACTCCAAAAAACATTAGTGGTTACAGTAGTGTTGGATGCAGGAGTTTAATCTGCAGCCAAATGGTTGGTGGTTCATGCCCTGGTCCTGGCTTTCAATGTCTTTACACTAATTCACCAATAGTTTGGTCAAACTGGCTAATTTGTATTGGTTATCCCTTTTAACAATATAGAATAAACACAACCAGGATTGGTTTGTTGTTTTAACCAACAGACATCTTGGACACATGTTCGGCCAACCAGATCAGTAAAATTAAGCCAATGTTAGGTGGTATTGGCCAATCTTTTTAAGGGTGTAGTTTCCTTGAGGAAGATATTTTATAATTCAAGAAATTTTTGCTCCATCTGAAAAAATAATGCATCTGTTTTTGGAATTTACTTAATCATATTTAGTTACTTTAAAACGATTGTTTTATGTCATCCCATGCTAACATGAAAAAATGTGTTAAAGTAACTGAATATGACTAAGTAAATACTGACAATGGTTTAATTATTTTTTTCAGCTTGGTCCTCCTTCTAGTCTGCATTTAGGTTCAGTTCAGTAAGTTTTAAAAACTTCCATATCTCATACAAGAGAAATTAAAGTTATTTTCTGTGTTGTACAACGAAGTTGGAGTAAAGGGAGAATTCATGCATGCATAAGGAGAACAAACTATGTGCCCAATGCCAAACACCAAATGCCAGTGGTACAAGGACTGCAACAAGGCAACTCTTCAGCTCTAACTTGCAGCCACACTCAGGCACTAATCAGGCCTTGACCTTATCAGGCTTAAGGGGAGTTTAAACACTTTTTAAAATTATTGAGGTGGATGTAAGAATATGTT